CTCAGAAAACCTGAGTCTGTCTCTAAGTGATGATCAAAAAGATGCATCAATAATTAATGAGACCACTACTGAAAGGTCAAGAGCACAACAAGTCTCCTGCCTGACTCGCGATAGATCTGCCTTCAGCTTTGCTGCAGAGGAGCTCGCAACAGTAGCAACTACTGCAGCGCTAAGGCAGTTTGAGTCCAGCTGGCTTTGAAATCAAATGTGAGGAAAGAATTGATTCTGCAGCACTGATTTAGGCTGCCGTTTTCTACACGGAGGGGAGGGAGGGGCGGCGGAGAATCGAGCACTTTATCAGCGCTGTGGGCAGCAGAGAGAGTGATGGAAAACGAGGATGACTCAGAGCTAGTGGGTGGACTTAGACCAGGTGAGACATTGGTACAGCAGATGGACAGTTTTTCAGTTCTCAGGCTTTCCATTGTGTGTCAGGCGGCTCATAGGGCAAAGAACAGTGAAAATTGATTGTGGAAGAAAGTCACGGTGGAAAAAAAAATACTTCGTTTATTTTGTTCGTTTTTTATTGACTTTCCATAATGAAATTAGAAAATCTCATAACTGTAATGATGTAATAGAACAAACAAAAAAACTTCCCAAAAAAGGGTTTTATCTTTCAGAAACAACATCTGCTTATTTGAACTGTTCCCTCGTGAGTGATTTTTATTTTCAGACTTGAAATATGTTTAAATGAAATTCCAGATTCATAATAGTTAAATACATGTTGCATATAAATGGATCTCCAGTTACTTAGTAAATAGAAAACAGATTGTAGAGATAAACAATGTTGTATCTCACTTACATTAAATAAACTAGAGTACTGGTAGATGAATTTTTAGTTTTAAGAAAAATAAAATATAATGTTCTGTCATTATATATTGAAGTATATTGACTCAGTAGAATGCTGCATCATTGCAAAGATAATGTACCTGCTTTTCTTTACTATTCCTTTTGCCTGTTTTGTGTTTATAAGTGTATCTATATCACTGGTTGATTGATGACTTTTGAGAGAAGGTATAGGTTAAGATTTTTTTCATATTTATATAAACTGTAAATTAATTAAAATACATAAACAAAAGGTTGATTTTATTTCCGATTTCTGTTTGGTTTTGGTCGCTGACCCCCACAAATACCGGGGGTCCACTGCAGCCTCACATTAGGATCAAGTCGGAGGGAACGCCAGCGATCGCCGCGCCGCATGCATTCCCCTCCACATGTTTGCTCTGCCCAGGGTGTGGTCCCGTTTGAGAGGATTACACAGAGGAATGCAGGCGAGCCCATCTTTTTAAAACAAGAGGCCACGGGCGTAAAGTTCATGTCCAACAGAGCGTCTCAGAGGTTCCAAACGACGCCAGTACGCGCAGATGGGAGGGGTTCCTATAGTTCAAGTCGGAGGATTCACTGAGCAAATTTGGCAACAATTAGCTTCAGGGTTTCCAATAGGACTTCTGTCTGAACAAGTTTATCTGGATTAACAATTTCACTTTGTGTAGGTACAGCTTGAGTAAACAGTTTGTGACAAGTAAGTTAGAAATATTAAACCACCATAAAGCCCTCTGTGTTTTACGAATCTAAATCAACCACCGAATCTTCCATTAACAGTCTGTTTTGTTTTCTTTTGTTTTAAAAAATAATTAAAGGTGCACGTTCAAGCCATTACAAATAATTTCCAAATGTTATTTCTTATCTAAATAGTTGCTTTAATTATAAGCTGTCAGAAGTATGCGTGAATAAATATATAAATATAAGTATGCGTATATATATATAGACTAAATTGTTTCAGTCTCGCCGCTAAAATGGGTGAATTAGAGCAGAGAGGAGATAAGCATCAGCAAAAGGCTAATGTCTGCAGCACAGTCGATGTGACATCACCACATGACCGGCGTGATTGCATTTACTCCATTAAGGTAGGCATTCTCGCTCATTTCCTGCAGCCCCCACTTCCACTCTGCCCACAGCGACCACTCTGTCACGGTTGCCACAGCTACCGCGCAACAAGTACAGAAGAGCCTAAAGGGATAGGGCTGTCAGGAGATATCCACGCAGGTTTTTCTGAAGGAGCAAAGGGCAAAACATTTCAAATTGTTTGAGTAAAAAACAATTCATTTTTCCTTTTTTTTTTTTTAATGCTATAAATATTCATGCATTTAATTACATTTTATATCATATACCAACAGAAGGGAACATATGTGTGAAGTGTAAGGTAAATATTACATGGTAGCCAACATTAACCAAACAAACAATCTGAAAAGTGTGGTGTGTTTTTGTATTAAATACTCTTCACTGTTGAAATATTATTAGTTCTGTTTTCAAGCGAGGTGAAACTATATTTTTTTTCAGGGTTGTTTAATTGAAGGAATTGACACTTTCCAAACTACCCTTTTCCTTTTGCTTCACAATAATGCCCTACTTCATATTGGCCTGTCACATAAATTCCCATAGGAGGCACTGAAGGTTGCGATTGAAGGAATAACAACAACGTGCGCTGTTAAAGGGCATTTCAAAGCCCTGTTTTTATCAGTCTGCCAACATAAATGGCTGAAATGTGTCAAGTGTCCCAAAATACTCACACGACTAAATATACTGGACAAAAATGGTGATACGAAGCGCCTCAATGCCAAGTGGGAAATCTAGGAGACTTTGCCTAGCTTAACACGGCTACTTGAATGTATTTTTCAAAAAACTGGCAAAAGTAGCACAAGATTTGCTTTTTCTAAAACCCCCAAACAGATAGTGCAGAAATGCTGGGAACTATGAGACACCATCACTATGCATGCAAAGCAACCAAACTGAAAATGCAAAGCAGAGGTATGAAATTTTTCAAACGACCGTTTATCTCCTCAAACCCTCCCCCCCTCTTTCCCCTGCCATATGTCTCAGATGATTTTACTGCCATGAACTCTGATATATGGTTGAATAATAGTCTCAAAAGTAACACACACCAGGTCTGAACTACAGCAACTTTTTCCTCAGTTTGCAGAAAACATCTAGTTTACATAAAATCAATCGTTTGCAGACATATTCAAGTCATACAAGAAGAGACGTTTTACATCAAAGCATACCTATGTGAGAAGATAATTGTTTTGGCAATGTTAGGGTTGAGAAAAAGCAGTAGGAGTGTTAGACAAAGTCCTATTGTGGTCACAAGAGAGTTTTTAGCAAATTAGCCTGAAAACAACAAATGCCTCATTCACTTGGCGTGCTTTCCTGTCGTCACGAGACAAGAGTAACACCTTTTAGTCGACTACTTTCTTGAGAGTTACCTTTCATTCCGCTTCTTCTTACAAGGGGCCCTGTAATCTGTGGCCAAGTTACGGCTGGCGGCACACAACCCCGCCATGATAACACGATCGGATGAGAAGACCCGGGAAGATGATATGGGCGTAATGGGGTGAAAATCGGTCCCGCGTTGAGCGAAACACATTTCCTAATGCATAATAAAGATTTCACTCTCTCAGCTGTCATAGGGAGACTCTTTGTGACTGAAGGAACAAGCTGGGGGTAAAATCCTGCAGTACAAAAAAAAACAAAACAGGAGGCTGTTCTTTTTTTTTGATGGGGAGCAAGAAAACGTAACAAAAAAATGAGAAAGAAAGAAAAAATAACTTCTTCAGGCAGAGTAACAATTTCTAAGTTGGATCCTAACATAATCTCCAAAAACGTCTTTCCTTCCACAGGGTGGGCGTAAAATCTGCTTGATGCGACGACAAATCAGTCCTGATCCGAGTCAGATGTGGGCTCGTTAAGCTACATCACCGTTTGCATGAAAAGGAACGACGCTCCGCGACCAATGCTCCGCGAACGCCGCGAACGATGCCTTAAATGAGTCTCTGTTAAAGTCACAGCCAAGAAGGCAGCTGGTGGCATCAATAAAAGCAGCTTTTCAAAATGCTGCTTTTAGTGTCTATTTTTTTATACAAGGAAAAAAAAAAAGAAAGACTGACCATGACGACTTCTGATGACGACGGTTTTTAAGCGCATTACAATCAAAATAAGGTTTTAAGATTTTCATCAAATCTGAACTAACCACTCCAAATGTTTACATTTATGATGGTAGGACAGAAAATAAAGCATTTTCCTTGCATCCCCATTTGCTATATCTACAGATACAAAGGAAAAGACAAAGGTATAACTTATGAAGCTCAAAACACGGGATGAACACGGTCCTCACATAGGTTTTTGTACGTTTTGGTCGACAGTATCTTCAACAGAAATTCCACCATCTGCTTTTTTTAATGTGTACGCTGCAGCTTCAGAAGACAAGATAAAAACTCCTCACTGGTCTAGTGTGCTGCTCTAGTTTCTTCTGCTATTTATCACTGTCACATCTGCAGCAGAGAGAAGAAAAAAATAACATCCTCCTCTTAGATGCAGCATGTCATGCCTCCTGTGAAGAAGCCTTACTACCATGTCAGAAATATTCAAGTATTTGGTGTTACATTTTAGATATTCTACCAGTAAGAGAAGCATCAATAGTGGAATAAATAAAGTCTGCACCTGGAATACGGCACTTTAATCGCTGAAAACCATTTCCCAGCAGCCTTTGGTGCGATTATGTTTTCCTGGCGGTTGTAAACATCGTGACAGCTGACACAGATCCGAGAATAGACGCCCTGGAACGGCTCAAGGCGATCAGATGTTGGCCGAGGTGCACGGATGATGGACAAGGCATGGTGACATTTGAGGAACTTATTGTATAAAAAAGAAAATAAAGGCGCAGCCATCGCTGGTGGCACTGAACGTGTCAACAGGCCTCTGTGGCCTTTTGCTTCATAGGTCAGAGCAGTCCGCTAGCTGAGTACAGCAGGGAGACCCGAAGCACATGCTAATTTGAGCAGACATCCTACACTCACCAATCATGGGAAACCATAAACTCTGATGTTTTATGTCACTTGTGTAATTTTTTTTTTTTAGGTACTGGGCCTCAAACTATCATCTACAACACATGACGTGGTTATTTACAAGTTTGTGTCTGTAAATTGAACATACGTGTGAATATGTACCTTTAGCGAGTCAAAGCAGGCGATCACTCTCCCGTTCTCCACCTGGCAGCTTTTGGGTGGGTGGGCGAATTTGCATTCCTCGTCACTGCGCGAACACGTCCCTCGCTGGAACTGCCGGCACACTTCCAGGGTCAGCCATTTTGTGTCCCGTATCGAGGCTATGTTTAGAGCCATGTTGAAGGGGGTCTGATGGCTGCGGGGCTGGAGGAAGGAGAGGGAGCCGCTCGGTTCGGGGAGGAGGTGCTTCGACAAAGAGCTCCGGGTTAAAAACACATAAAATCAAAAGTAAAACCGATGGAACATACAGCTAAAAATACTCTGCCTCAGGTCAGCGGAGGCGCTTTGTCTTTGCGGACAAAAAAAAAAAAAAAAAAAAAAAGGAAAGAAAAGAAAAAAGACAGGAAATCTGGTGGAGAAACCTGACCATGAGATGAACAACTGTGTTTTGGAAGTTTGTCAGTCAAACAGATTCATCAATCATCATCAATCAGTAAATCTCAAGAGCAGACCTCTGGCGAGGCAGAGGGGTCATACTTGTATTGGACACACACCACTGTCCCCAAAATGTCCTTTTTATGAGTAATGATCTCTTTCCAAGGGGGTGGGTGAGTGTTGGGGAGAAAAGGTGGCCCTATTTTCAGGTACAATGGCACATTTTAGGACAGCACAAAGGTGTGCAGCTCTTCCCTTCGAAGTGCCTTTAAGCTTTGGCACCCTGGCCAGCAGCGGAGAGATTTGGCTTTAACTCGGGGTTTATTCACACAAAAAGCACAGACGAGGACAAACCAGGTAGGATTTGACGCTATGGCCTGCAGAGACCGCAGAGGAATATCCGGAGCTCTTCGGACAAAGTCTTCAAGTAGGGATGTTAACTCAAAAGGCACTTTCTGATCTGAAACAGAAAAAAAAGACAAGAATTTTTTTTTGTATAAAATTCCAATAAAATACACCAAAGTCTGTGGTTGTGACAAAATTTAAAACGGTTAAAGTGGTTCAAGGCAATAAAAAAGACAGCTGTGCTATTTGGCTGAGTATGTAGAGACTGGAAGTCCAAAGTCTTTCCAACATAGTTCCTACCAAAACAGGAAATGAAGAAAAGCCCTTTGTGTTGTAAGATGAGAGCAAACAGTCTGAGTGAAGATGGAAAAGGAACTGTGGGGTCTAGCCTGGCCTATAGAGCCACACATGGTGCGACCAATAGAAAAGTGCAGCACTGCACTATTCTGGGCGGTCGTCCAGCAGCCACAGAGAGAGACCTAGACAGATGCATATGCCACTGCCAGACATGATTATGACGCTGCCCAGTGTCACACAACATTCACTAGCCTCTCCTCTCTCTCCGTCCATATTAGGGACCGCCTCGCTGACATCAGCCTGTCGGTTCACATTCATTTGGGTCGGTACGGGCTTTCTTCCTCGTCTTGCAAAGGCACTGCTGTGTCTCAGTGATGTGTAGTAAGAGCCAGGGGACGATTGATAAAGCAACAATCTGAGGAAGTGACCTTTCGCTTGGGAGAATGAAATCCATTACTAGGCTACTGAGCAGGGAGCTCGTTTCTGCGCACATCTGGAAATGTTTTGCTTGGTAACTGTGGGCTGGAAGAGGGGGAGGATGCTCAACACTGGAGGAGGGTTGTAAAAAAAAAAAACTAGAGCTCTGGTTAAAAGATTATTATTTTACTATTCCATGAGTATAAAAAGAATGAATGGAAAACGGAGGTTTGGCCAGAACATCTGGCATATAGGCCAACATCTTAAATTATTGGGAGCAACAAGCTAAGACTTGTCCTAGAGTTTACAAAGACTGCATTTCTTCAGAAATATGCCCTTAAACATTACAGAAGTAGAAGGGGCAGAAATAAAAATGGCTTTGGGGGGTTAAAGAGCAGTTTCCTCCTTCGAATCACAAACCTAATGCAGCCACAAGCTGATAAATCCAAAACCATCGTCTTAGCTAATCATATTGTCCCACTTTAGTGCTGATGATGTGAAATGAGATCAGAAGCTTCCTTTGCCCGATTGTACTGACGCCCGGGCTCTGCTCTCTAAGGCGGGATTTAATTTCACATCAACCCCCCAGGGAGCCAACCAATCGCAGCAGAAAGAGACAGTCAGGTAAGAATCATGTCAGATCTGACCTTTAGCAATTAATCCCTTCTTATTTTTAGAAGCCATAAGATGTCGGCCATGAAGCTAACCTAATTTGTCACCATGTGAGGAAGCGATGGCGCCCGATGTCTGTTAAGTGACTAGCCTGAAATGATGGTGCATAAAACACCAGTATGTTGCTTTTACACATTTAATTCGGACAGAAAAGCTCACTAAACGAGTTCTGACACACGGTGTCAGTAAGAGTCTGTCCGGGTTGCCTGAAGAGACTCAGCGAGCAACAATGAAAGATATTCAAAACAAACAGGATCGGTTGAAGATGAAAAGGTCCCTTATAAGGGTGGTAGTAAGATAAAGAACACATGCAGGAACATGACCACATATTTGTTGGCATACTCATAACATTTAATGTATGCTTTTGCAGTATAGAAAGGAAGTTTTTATTTATGAAAAGCTAAATTTAGTTTTAGCTTTGGAACATAGGACTGCATAAAAACAAATCTATGGTTAAAAAAACCTGAACAATCGACCTCTCAAGAGTCATAGGGTGTTTTCCCGCCTGATAATCCGGTGGACTCGGTTGGATTGGCGACCGAAATTGCAACATTTGTTAAGTTTTCAGCCGGTGTAGTTTGCTTTCGCATTGTACGTCTTCGAAGAAACCAAACACTTTGACAAACCTGTTCACCTCCTTGCCTGTGGTGGCGCTGCACCGAAGAACCACGGGAGGAATGACATGAAAACTTCTAAAGACGACAGGAATGCAAAACAAAATTGGAATGTCGTCAGATGTTTTGCGGTTGTAGGATTTCTCTTTGGTAAAAGGCCATGAGACATTTCGCCAGGGTTCGCTTGAATTGAACCGAGTTCAAGGTCAGAAGGAGGTAATTCTATTAATGGAGAAGCATACAGCTGACTTCTTGTCAGGACAAAGATAATGTATAAAAAGACAAATAAATAGTCAGCTGATGGGGTAAAAATACAGCTATCTACTCACTAAGAGTTTGCAATATTTCTATTTGACACTTCATCCATCAGAAAATCAGTAATAGTCTCAGAGTCATTGCAGAAAAGGAAGTTGCAAAGTTGTGTTTCCATTTTGCGGATATAAAACCTGTGAGGAATAATAATCCACCTTGTGGAACCCTGGAACAGTGCGAGTAGTGTTAACAGAAATGTGCAACAGAAAGTGAAACCTAAAGAGCTGGAGGCAGAAGCAGATTCTGTGCATCCTGTACCAAAGTGACCAGACAGGATGACCCAATGAACCCAGACAGAGATGTGAAGAAAAGCACTGCAGTACTAGACTTTGTGGATTACTTACGCTTACTAAGACCAGCTGCCAGGGACATTATCTTGGTCAGTCTGCCTAATTGAATGAGAGTTAGCGAGACTGGGGTGTCTCTAGTGAAAGTCATTGGCTTGACCTCTGAAAAGCAAGCATGTAACCAGTTAGTCTGCTATCTGTGCTGGCCGGTTTATCTTTGTAGCTTGTGTTTGCTCAGCAGGGACGATAAGCTACCTGTTTTTAGCGGCCATATGAACTTGGAAACAATGCAAAAAAAAAATTCTAATGATTGTGAGAGAAAAGACAATGAGCAAGGTTACTGAGCGACTGCGATACTGCTGGCAAACGGTAGATGCTCAGTCATTTGCATGGCCAAGAGGAACGAGTGGACAATGTGTTTTTATAGAGAGGGGTCCTACATGCAGAAAGGAAATGTTTAGTTTCCCTAAGCTTATGAAATGCCTTTGGTCTAAGCCAAGAATCCTTGAGTTCAATTCTATCAGGTACCATTAGGTATAATGATCGGTGAGGGAGATCAGCACAGTCTATACCAGGACTAAGCTATGAGCATTTTCCCGAGTCAGCAGGAAGGTGAGCCCCATATCATAATAGCCTTAGCTAAACAAGGGTGACCCAAATAGTCTATATCTCTGACATAGGACGATCTGTTTGGATTTGTTGGAAAATGCACTTTCATTAAGAAAAGGTGAGATAATTTTTGCTGATTTGACTGCCTGCACTCTGTCAATAGATTTATTTTCCCTAAGCATTCTTGTCTGCTCTGTGTTAAGTCGAAGGGACTCAGGCAAGTCATCATCTAATTATAGAGCAGTCGTCTGCCTGAGATGAATTGTGCTTCTCAGATAAATATGATGATTAACAGGGTTTCCAAGGTAATTAATGGGAAAAAAACTGGATAAATACCACACTTAGCTGTGCAGTTTTAAGCCCGGCTGACGTGTTTGCTTAAAAACAACAAATACTTGAAATGAAACCACTTGACATTTTTGCTCAGAAGATAAAACTCACTTGAGATTTAATTTCGAGGTGGGGCACGTTTGTGATTTAGCCCCGTCTATTTTCAACAGGAAGGGCCGGGACCGTTGTTCCATTTTAGAAAACACCCACTTCCCCTTGATCTGCAGCCAGGCGTATGACACCGCTCTGGCCTTTTCCACGCAGGGCAGCGATGTCCAGTTCTTTGACCGCACCACGTTCGGCTTTGGGTCAAGAAAGCGAAATTTGGACAGACTCTTCCAGATCTGTCCGAGCAACTTTGGCCAGAAGAACTTTGTAAAAACTCTATAGATTTGACAAGCTTTTCTGTGTCACACTTGAAAAAGTGGAGCTCCTGACATTTGGACTGAGAAAGGGGCAAGTCAACTGCTGTGATAATGCCCGTTCCCCCAGGAGTTGAAAGAGAAAGTCTATGTTGGGAGATTGGAAAGCCTCAGAGCTCCTATGGATTTCTTCCTCTCTTTCTATATTTTTCTTTCCTTGTTTTCCGTCTCACACCCTCTTTCTCACACAGATAAAACATTCCCTCAAGTCCCTCCCCACCCAGACTGGTATGCAGCACACTGCAGCAAAACTCCAAAAAAAAAAAAATCTATTTAAAAAAAAAAAAAAAAAAAAAAAACAAGGCCAGACTGTATGACAAGTCATTCCCACCTCGGTTGATACGTTCCCGGAGCGCCGTTGTGAGCTTCTGTCCCAAACACAGGAGGCACCCGTTGGCTCCGGTGCGGTTCTCCCTTCAGCCCCAGCGAGAGGAGTTAATGACCATGTGAGCTGTTGTCATTCCTCACGAGCCCCCGAGCAGCGCAGCCAGAGCTCCATGCCTAGACAGGGATTTTCTCTCTCAGCGTCTCTCTCAGCCGCAGAGCAAAGCGAGCGAGGCAGGCGGGCGGGCAGGAAGCAAAAGAGTGTCTACTCAAACTATTTGGCTGTAACACTTCCAGCCAACATCCCACCTTCTCCACCCCCCCATCCAGACACACACCCCTAAAGCCAGCCCCTTCCTGCCCACCAGCCTGTAGCTGGGTCCTGCCGCCGAACAGCTCCAGCCAATAACACACAGTCTGATCTGAATCCCAGCTTTCGTCGCCTCTTGATTGGAGGAGAGCAATCCGATTGATGGGACAAATTCTGCGCTTACAGTCAAAACCCCTGAATACTGATTTCTCACAAGGTATTTCCCCAATTTCACGCGCCGCTTAACGTCACAAATTCAGATCCCGGAGAGCGCGGCGTTGTTTAAATTCAACGCGCAACCTGATTAGAGGGACAGGCTGTGGATGGGTGGGTGAGGGGGAGCAGGGAGGAAAACAAGCAGTAATCAAAGTGTTGCGCAGCCGCATAGTGGAGATCAGCAGTGTCCTTGTCTGCGTTCTATCGCCGCATTTAACACCATCCCCCCAGGAAACCGGAGCACTACACCTGCACCCTCCCTCCCTCCCACTTCTCTCCTCCACCTCCTCTCAGCATCCGTCCTCCAAACTCATCCTCCATCCCAGCATCCCTCGCTTCCTCCTCCACTTAAGCACCTTTCTCTCACCCTCCCCGTGGCTTCTCTCCATCCCTCACCTTGCACGTTTCCCCGCAGTTCTGCGAGCTATCTCCCAAACTCTATTTCATTCCAATTCTTTAGTTTACTGGACTGGAAAATTACTACTGTTATTGCTTGGGAAACATAAAAATAATAATAGACGTCATAATAATAATGTATTGCAATGTGTGTTTTTTTTTTTTCTCTCTTTCCCTCTCCCCTTCCAAGCCGGGCTGATGACATGCTGCCCGTCGATCACATGAGTCGTGAAACCGGAGCGTCACAGAACTGATGAGTCAGAGGTCCTGCTTCATGACTTTTCGATCCAGATTCAATAGAACAGCTGTACCGTCTGTCTGTCTCTCTCTCCCTCTATGTCCATCTCGCCGGCTCACACAAAGATTGTTGGTGACGCTTCAGTCGCAGCCAGGTGACCAATAAACTGTCTGATTTATTTTTTATTTTTTGTAAACTTTTAAATATTTTTATATTTTGCAAGCAGAAAATATCAAAAATGACACATTGTTTTCAAAGTTTTGCAACGAGTTAACGCTTTGTAGAACCATCATCAAATAAAGTCAAAATGTAACAAGAATACAGTCAAAATAATAGTTAATGTCACAGCAAAAAAGGTGAAATAATATTAGGAGAATGGAATTTATGAAAACTCCAAACCCAAAAAATTATTATCCGAGCTTTTTTCTCATTAAAATGACTTTTTTCTCATCTTAATTTTAAGACACTGTTTTGTTAAATTGTGTTTTTATTCTGCTAATATGATGACTATATTACACAAAGAAGGGAGGATTGAAATAAAAGCCACTTATTGAAAATATTTTCTGTCTTAGAAAAGAAAAATGCTTCAGCAAAAAAAAAAATTGTTAGCCATCTTGAATTGTGTGCTAATTCAGTTTCATTCATCTCACTTCCCATCACTCAGTTATGCATATGTGTGGACCTGCCACATAATTCTGAATTACGTTAGAGTTTGTGTTTGTGGTGACATAAATGTGGGGAAAAAAAGTGTCGAAAGGTCACCGGGACAGGATAAGTGTCAACGTCTGGTGATAACGGCATAAATGTCAGCACACCTGTGGGGAAACGAGCGCTCTGCTATTGCACCAAGCGTGAAAGTAGGGCGGGGAACATAATCTTTGGTCAAGAGCAAAAGTGCCAGTTAACAGCAACAGTGAAAGTTGTGCAAAGTTGGGAGATTTAAAAGGGGAGCTAGGATGCTGCTAAAACATTACAAAACAAAAACATCTGCTGTAGCTTATCTAGAAGGAAAACAGTTCAGTTTTTCTGACTGCAGATCTCGGATGTGTCCAACAGGAAAACAAACAAAAGCCTGGCAGACAAACAAGCTCAGCTACTTCCTTCCCTCGTGGAGTCCCCTCCCCTCCTATTATCCCTGTCCTTTTTGACCCCAAACAGCTCGGCACGCTCACATCGAACTGCGTTTCAAGAAAAAAAAAAGGAAAGAAAAGAACTGTTTATATCAAAACAAGACTGACAGGTAAAAACTGTGTGCCAACAGTTCAACGTGACACGAGAGGGAAAAGAAAAAAAAAAAGCAGGGCTCAGAAATAGGGCGGTGAAGACAGATCAATGAAAAGGCAGCTGTCTTTTTCTATTATTAGCCATAATCAAATAACAAGCAGTAAAGGGCGATGCTTCCTTTATTCTGATCAGTCCGCCTTAAAACGACGTGCGTAGCTGACAGTGCAGCTATTTATATCCAATTTCTAGTTCTGCTTTTTAACAATGGAAGGTTATGTCCTTCCCAAACATACTAAGGTCAAATTTTAATCACTGGTATTTATTGGCATAAAACAGAGAGCTCACTGCATTTTGGTCCAGTTGTACAAGATACCAACCATAAAAAGATTTCAGACTGCAGTGACGGTCTGGATGATTCCACATGGAAGAATTTTAAAAATGTGACATGTCAAAAACAACATAAATGATAAATGCATTATTTTAAATAAACACAAATATACAGGATATACTACATATAAACATTTTGCACACAACCAGGGCAGTACAACTTTGGGGGACAGCAAATGCCTGACAAAAAATGCATTTACTGTAGGAGACACACAGGATATGTCAAATAGCAGGGATAACCTGACCCTGTTGGATGCAACCTAAAAATACAAGTTTTGATCATAAAAGTCACTGCACAAAAAAACTCAACAGCAGAAAAAAAAAGCAAGTTGAATCTTGTCTATAATTTGGACAATTTATTGAAATATTAATACTGACTATACAGATTCTTTAAAAAAGACCAAACATTAAATATTTGGGTATGATTTCACATGTCATGTGGAAAGGAGAAATAGCGCTGGACACTTCTTTATCACCCCATTTTTAAACAAGACAGGTTGTATTGAAACATCTGTACATTGTTGGGCAAAAACCCAAAGCATCCTCTCCATGACTGTTAGAGGAGATAGTTTGTTTCAACAACTCTTTGAAATGAGTCAAGACAATATTTAATTTCCCGCTGGGATTTCAAAACATTTTTCAGCCAAATTGAACTGAATAAATCTTTGGACACTTAATGCAGTGATTTGCCTGAAAAAAGGAAACGAATGAATGTGATTATAAAGTCTTAAGACACCGAGCAACAACGACGACCAAACGTTACATCTGTTTGCAACGAGCCATTTTTATTATTATCATTATCAGCTCTCTGCCTCTGTGTAGTTATTTCTCGGTCTTTGAGCCGCACACACGACCTAAAACCAGAATTATTGCTCATATTTCACAGCCCTCGTGAAGTCCTGAGAGGCGTTACATTCACGAACACGCCACTGCGTGTGCAGACGGGATGCTAATGCTACCTGCTAGGCTAGCTACCTGCAGCCTACCTGATGTCGGGACCTGTCACATCCAGCTGCTGCTCAGCCCTCCGCCAACGGCTGGTCAACGACGGGATTCCCAAAGCACTGCACGGACAAGCAATCACGGTCTTCAGCTGACACGTTTCGCTGGCTCTTACAAACTTTTTTTTTCTTTTTGTTTTTGTGCTCCTCTTCTTCTTTTTTTTTAAAAAAAAACCCCACATATGACAGCGGCGCCTTTGACCCGCTACATGCTAGCACGCTAACTACTTTCAAAGGTGGAGAGCAACAAGCGATTTTGACAGTTCGAGGTAAAGTCGACTCCTCCGCCTCTGAGGAGAGAGAGTTGTGAATGTACAAATATAGTCAACAAATTTTTGCCGTTTTTTTTAAACTATCAGAGCTTCGAGAGGTCTAACACTTTTAATGCAAATCACACATTCTATATTTGCAGCTACTTTACAGAAATATAATTAGTTTTGAAGAAGAACTCCCCCCCCCCACCAAAGTAAAGGTGGTACGGTCCAAAGAAATCAAGGGAAGTGAAAGGAAGGGAAGGGGCTCCTGTTACTAGGAGACAGCAGTGAATGGCCCTGGGGGAAAGATGGGCCCAGAGATTTATGAACCACAGCCTGTCAAAATAGCCTGTTATCATAAAGTGAAAGCACCTGGTAAAATATAATCACCATTTATTCTGTTGTAAGATAAATTACTTTACTAATCCCAGAGGAAAAATAAACATTGTTGTAGCTTAGATTATGCAATTATTTTTTCAGTGAATTGTTGTGGGTGCTGAATGCATCTGCAGCACTGACCAGCAATTCTGATGAAGCCTCTGACTGACCAGAGGTGGGCAGTGACTAGATTTGCTCAGTTACATTTACTTTACTAAGTTTTAGGGGGAATTGCACTCAGAGTTGTTTACTCCACTGTGCTTTTTACTTTTACCTGAGTAATCTTAATATAAAGCATCACCACTCTTTATCGAGGAAACACACGTTTACTGCAAGTATTAGTTTTATATTTGCAAAAAGTTTTCTTCTGCTTGAATTTGTTATTTTGCAAACATGTTATTTATTACAGCTGCTCCAAATGTACGAAGCTGTTTTACAAAATACTTCTTTACCTTAATATCATAGATGGCTACTTTTTACCTTCAATTGAGTAAAAATAAGTTGAGGTAGTGCAAGTCTTACCTGAGTACATTTTTAGAGACTATGCATTACTTTTGAAGACACTCAGATTGTTTATCCTTTTTAAGAACAATACTAGATTTCTTCCACATCACTGGGACTTTCTTTAGTTTTTCACAAAAGATGTGACAGTTGTCTAGGAGATATCCTCAGTTGCTTAGACTATCTTTTGATGCAGAGAAGCAGATAGTATCTTGGTCACCTCACAGGATACTTACTTTTCAACTCTTTCTTCACTCCGACTGACACCAACAATGACAAGAAGAAAAAAAAAGACCTCCTTTCTCTTACTTTGCAACTTCAAAATCTGCCTGGTTTTTCAGCACCACTTGATGCTTCACAGAGGAGCGTGGCATTTCGCAGCCTAATTGCGTGCAGCCAGAGTGCTCTCGCACGCGTCCTGACACACAAGAGGCCGTTGTCGCCAAGGAGGACGACAATTCAACGAGGCGCAAGTCACAAATATCCCCGGAATGAGCGGAGAGGCGCAGATTTAGCCCCACTGACGGCTGCCCACGCCATGTGCTTCCTATTGAGCACAGAAACAATGAGCTCAGCCATGGTGGACCGCTCTATCAGGGCCAAGGCCAGCTTCACAGGAATGCTATCTGAAATAACAGCATTACAGCCTGTCAGGATGCAAATATTTGAAAGCATCTGGACTTACGGCTTGTTAGTTTTGTTTGAAAAATATAATCTACAGCACTGCTGTGGAAGAGAAACAGCATTTCTGAGGACATCAGTGATTATGAAAAACTGCTAACATAGGTCAAGCTCAGCCCCAACGCCCCAAGACCTAATGTATTGATCTAGTTGCAGAGGAGGCATTTGCAAAAAAAAAAAAAAAAATGCTGCTGCTGGCATACTTTT